GAATGTTTATTTGACTGTTTATTCATCGCATAAAAGTAAGCCGATTACGCAAATGAACGTTATCTCCGACTATCGGTCATTTTCGGAGTCAATCGGGCGACTTTGAGAGATCACGTGATCGAGTTGTTTCGGTTATAGCATAAAAAAAACAATGGCGCCAAGACAAAAACACTGATAAATGAGCGACATTCAACGGGGAAAAAAAACACATTGCCACTTCTGGCGATCGAAGGGAAACACGGAATAAGTCGGGATATCTCGACAACAAACAGCATACCAAACCCCATGTTTCGCAAACTTTCGCAACCTTATTTTTTTGAGGGTTGAAAAAAACAAGAAGTAATCTAAAAACGACATTGAAAATTATGAAAACTCGCTAAAACTCCGACCCGTTGCATGATTTCCGATACACTGAAGGTCACCCTGCAGACCGACTTGTTTGCGCATGCGTAGTGAACGAAATATTTTACTGCGCAGATATGAAATTTTTTTTCAAGTTTTCCGTTTCCAGCAAAGCGGTTGATACGGGCGTATCGGCGGCAACTAACATGGAGTATGACTAATGTTGTGGAAACAAAAGCGAAAGCACTGTAAGATAAACTAAGACAAAGGTTTTTTTAATCCTCTTAGTTTGGTTGTTCTTCCTGGGGTTTATAGTTCCATGATATTACCGTTTACACCATTTTTCAACAATTTATAAAAAAGACCTTCATGCCAAACACTATCAAAGGCTTTTTTGAGGTCTACAAAGCAGGCATAAATTTTATTTGATGTTTTCAATTTATTTTTATCATTTGCCTGATGGATGATCTCCTTGTTCTGATGGAGGTATTGATTAATAATAGTTTTCAGGATAAACAGATTGTCTGTTGTCCGACAGTCTTTCCTGAATCCAAATTGTTTATTAGAGAGGATATTATTTTTTTCTAGATATGAAACTAGTCTTGTGTTTAAAATACTATTAAATAATTTACCTAAACAACTTGAAATTGCTATTCCCCTGTAATTAGAAGGATTCAATTTTGATCCAGATTTGTGCAAGGGTACAATAAGACTAGTATTCCAAGAATCGGGGAATTTGCCAGACATGAACACTATGTTAAAAAGTTTTTGTAGTGCGTCTGACAGGTAATAACCACCACATTTAAAAACCTCATTACTGATTTTGTCTTCTGCTGATGACTTATTATTTTTTAATTGGCTAATTGCTTTTTTAATTTCATTTTTTTGAATAGGACCATTCAAAGATTCTGTATTGACTGCGTCCACACTTTTCTCTAAAGTTACTAGATGTCTTTTCATATTAGAGTGAACAGTGTTGTTTTTATTTAACAGTTTTTTAAAGTAAATTAACCAGTCCCCAGGTGAAATACGTTCATTATCTGAATGTGTTATACTGTCATTGTTTAAATCATTCAGTATTTTCCAAAATTTAGATGTATCACTTTTTGATTTTTCAAGCTCATTCAGTTTTAACTGTTTTAGGGCATGTTTCTTTTTCCTGACTAAATTTTTGAATTGCTTTTTTGTTTTGAAGTATCTACCACGAATAATCGGGTCTAGTGGATGTTTCTGCAGTAATTTTGAAATATTTTTTATTCTACGCGAAGCAACCAGCATCATTATCAACCATTTTTTCTTTTTAGTATTGTTTTGTTTTCTTTTAAAACACTTTGGAGTGATTTTTTAACATTTTGG